GTGTTGAAAGTCATGTCATGAAAGATTACTATACAGATAGTTGTTATAACATATACATATTATGCAAAAATGAATAAGCTATTTATTGCTAGTATGAACAGAAAATGCTGTTTATTTAGGTTGCGATAGTCAAGAGTCAACTGTTTTCTTATATGTTGACCATTATATGTTTGAACAACTGTTTGCATTAAACATTTTTGATTTTCCAAACATGGGTTCTCTCTCTATAGGACACTATGACATTTTTTAAATAGATGTAGTGCAAGAATATATTTTTTCAAATAGATTTAGTTGAATATTTTTTTTCAAATAGATTTAGTGCATTTTTTTTTTTTTTTTTTTTTTTTTTTTTTCAATAGATTAAGTTTGGTTTTTTCTGATTGATTTACCATAAGAATATATATCCTGCCCTGAACCACAGATGGGAAGATGTACAGCATTGGTGTTCCTCTACCGTATGGTGGCAGCAGAATCAGTGTCGTTGAAGTGGGGAAGGAGCACTGTATGGCACTAACAACGGATGGAGTAGTCCTTACCTGGGGCAGTGGAATGTAAGTAGTGCACATCCTCAGAGGTAGGTGGAAGTAAATACAAATAGATGTTTTTTTTCCCTAAATCTCACTGGGTATCATTTTGCCAATATGGGATGAAATTAATTAAGATCATTCTCCAATGATGACAAGAAGAGCTCATTTGACATTGAAATTAGGATATTGAGTAAAAGGTTAATGATAATTGATTTTAAGAATATAATGGGGGAAAATTGATTCCACTAATATACTATCCCTGCTGTTACAAGTTAGCATTTAAGATAGTCTTTTACTTTGGAAAAGAAGTCTATCTCCTATGAAATGTCAATAACAATGTGATATATGTTTTATACTTATAAATGTAAGAATTGTGTCATCAGGATTCACAATGGAAATTTATTTGTACTCTTTTAGGCTTTAGATCTTCATCTTATGTCTTTAAGTTTCAGTTTCTGTATCTAGAAAAGATGCTTCTAAAGAGAGGAGGATGACAGTGAGTGACACAGAGGGAGAGAGAGACAGACAGACACAGACAGAAGCTCTAGGTTCTCTCACAGATATAGTTAAAGTTTGTAAAATTAGTAAATATCAGATAAATTTTCTTTAGCCAGTATATTTAAACTGATAAGGACTTTTCCTGTATCATTTTTAAAATCTACTTCTTTTTCTTCTGAATAATTGCCTGCTAGCAATGGACAAAAAATACTTGCCTAACTCCTACACATAATTGAATCCGTATTAATTTCTTATCCCACTTTAGGCGTGGTCAACTTGGCAACGGAGAATTGTGCCAGATCGATCGTCCAGAACCAGTAGAGAGTCTCCAAGGCATTACTATCTCCTCCATAGCCTCTGGGGGTTGGCACTGTGTCGGTAATTATATATTTTTGATTTTTTAAATTTTTTTTATTATTTGTGTGGGTGGGCTGTGGCTGTGGGTCTATGTTATCTTTGATGACGATAATGTATGCATATTTTTCTTATATATAAATACTTAATTAATTGTTGCCTTTAATGGTTTGAGTTTAATCCTGAAATTAGTGTGTTAAGAAATATACTGTATGGTATCTTGAGTAAATTAATAACATCTGGTTTCTGGAAACAGAGGATCATCCGTAAAATTTTAATAATCTTCTTTTACCAATTTAAATTTCCTTTAGGCCTTCCTTAGCACATAGTACAGTATTGTTACCTCAAATCTTAGGGAAAGGAATTTTGGATCTGTGGAGGTAGAGTAGAGCTATGTTTGGGGAATGAGCTCTTGCATCAAAGAAATGCAGAATTTTCAACACTGAATTTTAGCTTGTGATATTCTTATGTAATTTCAAGTCTCTGTTTTTACTTTCTCGTTTCTTTTTTTCTGCTCCCTCCTTTTGTCTATTTCCTCTCTCTTCTTCCCTCCTTTATCTGGCTTGTTTCCTCTCTCTTTTTCCCCCTTTTGTCTTTCTCATCTCATCTCTTTTCTTATTCTCTATTGTTTTATCTTATTTCCTCTCTCTTCCCCTTTTTAACTAGCTTATTTCCTTTTTCTTCTTCCTCCTTTTGTCTCTCATTTCCTCTCTCCTTCCTTCTGTCATTCTCTTTGCCTTTCTTTCTTCTTCCCTTTTTCGTCATTCTCATTTCTTCTCCCTTTATCTTTCTCATTTCCTTTTTCTTTATACTCCCCCTTTTGTCTTCCTCATATCCTCTCTCTTACTTCTTTTTCTCTTCAACAGCTTTGAGCACGAGTGGTGACGCATACATGTGGGGCTGGAATGAAAGCGGCCAGTTGGGCTTCCCAGCCAAGGCAGATCAGGAGGCATCGATTTTGGGAACATTTAGCCACAGATGCTGATGTCCCGAACCAGTTCATATGACAGACACAATATTCAGTGACAGCAAGGTGGAAGAAATTAGGACCAATGAACAGAGTGGCAACGATCATAAAGCATCTCTCGAAGGAACAGGAGATTGCAGAACTGATCCGAGAATCAACAAGGGTCAGGCGAAGGATGTTGTGAATGTACAGACCTCGCCCAGGCTGTTGGACTTCTGGAATGAAGATATGGCAATCTTAGATGTCAAAGGTGGAGATAGGCACACATTATATCAGCTTGGTAAGATTACATTAGTACCATACACTTAGAGTTCATATGAATGTTACAGGCATATTTTCTGTAAGTAAAGCATCTTTTTTTTTTTTTTTTTTTTTTTTTTTTAACAGTATAGGGTTTAAAGCTGTAGAGCCAAGTTTTTTTTTACAAAGTGTCAAAATTGTTAATGATTCATGAGCCATATTCCAATTCAGTCTTGTTATTCTCTTAGTTTTAAGGCATGTGCAAAATAATATGGTATGTATTAATCTCCTTTTTCAAACATCTGCAGAGGATGGGAGTGTATGGTCCACTGGCATGAACAAGTTAGTATGCTTTGCCACTTAAGGTTTTGATTAAGTTATATCCTTTGTCTTCACAATTGAAATGGTTAATGGTTTAAAAGCAAAATAGATGTGTTAGATTTAGTGCTATAAGGTCATATAGCACTATAGGAAGGTACAATAAAGGGTGGTTAAAGGTGATAGTTGTTATGCATCAACTCACTAGAAGAGTATTGAAAGATTAAAGATGGGTAAAGGAGTTGACGATTCACAGGTGAAAATATGTAAAAATTTCCAGGGAAGAGACATTTCAGGACACATTCACTTGTGGCAGGCAATCTGTAATTTTTAAGTTCAAGTAAATGATTTTATATTACTGATATACATATATAGATTTATACTTTTGGCGAGGTCAGATATTACTTTATATCATAACCCTAGATATTTCAATATGCATTTCTTTTAGTTCTATCACTGGATAATTCCTTAAACATGAAATGCCATACAAATGTAATTTTTATTTATTTATTCATGTTTTTAGGTACGGCCAGCTTGGTTTGGGCGACACAGCCGAGAGGAATGAACCTTGCCTGGTACCAGTCACAGGCGTCAGAACAATGTTTGCTGGGGGATGGATTTCAGTGTTTATTACAACAGACACTAGTGGGAGATGACATGTGGTTTGTTGTTGCTCTGAAGCACTCTAACTTTGCACATCTGTATATATATATTAATTTAAATTTGTTTATATGTATGTTGACATGTATGTAAGCACATGTACATATAAATACACAAATTACCAATCTTTTTAACTAAGAAATGAAATATGTCTCTTCATTAATAAATGGAAATTCGGTTTTGCTGCTTATTTGTTCCTTCTTAATAATAAACGTGAGCAGAAGCTTTTGTGAATTAGCATATCACAGAAGTATCTAGTCAGTATGCAGTTTTATGGTAAATGTGCATTGTTGTTCATCTCTTTCTTTTTTTTTCTCTTGCTTTCTTTTTGTTTATATAACAGATTCTGAACATCTTTACACATTGATCTTTCAATTCTAGTTATACACATAACACTAATTTTTGTAGATTATGGCACCAGCATATCATGTCTCTTTCTTCAATTAACTGTTTCTCAAGTTACCTATAAAATTCCACTGATTATATTAATAATAATAATATTAATAATGATGATGATAATAATAATAATAATAATATAACAAAGTATCAATAATAATAAAATCCATTGACATTGTCATATTATTTCTTCATTATTCTTTTCTTATCTCTCCCTCTCTCCCCTCTCTCTTTCTCTATCTCTCCCTCTCTCTCCTCTCTCTCTTTCTCTTATCTCTCCCTCTCTCTCTTTCTCTTATCTCTCCCTCTCTCTGTCTCTTATCTCTCCTTCTCTCCCCTCTCTCTCTTTCTCTTTCTTTCTGTCTGTTACTCACACACCTTTCCCCTCAACGCCCTTCTGTACCAAGTACCGAGTTATATTAATATTTTGTAATGACTGAAAGCCAGTTTATCCGACTGTTTCTTTACATAATGTGATAAAGTTTAGATACATTTGCAATGTTGATGAGAGAGTAAAGGACGATGTTAATAATGACAGTAACCACAAAACAATAGCAAAGATAATGATAATACAAATGATCGTAATGATAATAATGATGATGCATGTGTTTTGTTTTCTGGTTTTTATCATTCACATATGTTTAAGGATGATGATGAGAGTAATAGGCTTAATAATAACACATGATAAAGATGACACTGGGAATGAAAGCTGCAACTCTTGGAATACTAATGTCTTGTCCTTTCCCAAACCTAACAGCCTCCATGGCCCTCTTTCTCTCTCGCTGTCTCTCTCCTGCTCGCTTTGCCTGTGCAAATAGTTATACACCTGTATAATGTTATGTTTCTCTGTACAATACTTCCAAATCCTGTTTCACGGCGAGCAGGAAAAACACAAAATAGGCACGATAATTCTTCGATCAAAGCGGTGCCTACATCTGCCTCTTTGACATGTCAGGTCAGTGACCTTGCTGCAGTCTTTCGTCCCAGGATCCCAGACTTAGCAGGCGGATGGATGGTCTCGTCCACAGAGCAAGGGAAGA